GTACTTTGTAATGGTAGCCCTAGGAAACTAATACTAGGTTTAAATTCATACTTAGGTACTTACTGTTCCTGGTACCACTGTTACTTGTATCTCCATCACTTTCCCCAGCCAGGTGCCTAGGTGAAGATAATCAATGGGTGTGAGTACCAACAGTGATATTTGGTTCCAGCCTCTATCAGCGGAATTGCTAGATTGCAGTCTCCTTGTCTACCTCTTTGCCTCATTGGTAGTCAAAGAGCTCTTGCTTTAGTTCTTGGTGCTCATTTCTACTCTCACCTGTGGCCTTAGCCATTTCTATTGACCTAGCCAGTTTCAAAGAATAAGAGGAACCTATATATCTCTGTTTGACCAAACATTTATGAAACTTGTTTGACTACAGAACTATTTTGTCATATAACACATGGAGCATCTTTTGGGAATTACTACCCATAGTGTTTTTGATGGTCGGGGAAAAGATCAAGGTGACTTTTCAAGGAGAAATCAGGATTAGACACTGGGGTGGGAGACAGAGTTCTTGGAATTCCCTTAGGATGGGAATTTATAGTCATTAACCTAAGGCAGGTGACATCAGATAGATAATTCTCTGTTGTGGGGCCTATCCTGTCCATTATAGGATATTTAGCAGCATCATTAGCCTCTACCCGTTAGATGCTAGTAGCAGCTACTTCCCACTCATAACAATCTTAATGTGTCCAAGCATTGCCAAATGTCCCATTGGGGAGTAAAATTGCTCCTGCTTGAGAACCAGTAATCTTAGATTACTGAAAAAGTTCACAAATTGACACTTGTTTTCCATATTAAAAGTACCAAGATAGGGGCCCCTGAATGGCTCAGTTGGTTAAGTGTCTGCCTTCAGCTCAGGTCATGATTTCAGGGTCCTGAGATTGAACCCTGAGTCGGGCTCCCTGCTCTTCGGGGAGTCTGCTTCTCCCTCTCTCTATGCCCCTCCTCCCTGCTTTGCTCTCTCTGTCTTTCAAATAAATAATTAAAATCTTAAAAAAAAAAGTACCAAGATAAAGAAGTGAGTCAGAAGATTGAAGTGTGTGTGTGTGTGTGTGTGTGTGTGTGTGTGTATCTTGGGGAAGGATAAGCTAGAAAGGAATCTCCATGGAGTCATTTGCAAAGAGATGGGGAAAAGGGACACAAGACAAATCCAGACCCCATTTACTCTGAGATCTCTGTGAGTTTCCTGGTATCCTAGTAACGTTTCCATTTTTGCTGCTTTTGTTATTGATTGGGCATTTCTCCTTACGGCAGGTGTCAGTAAAACTCTTATGGCAAAAACAATCTGTGTGTTTTAGGGAACAAAAACAATTAGAGAAGGTACACATATGAATAATCTAGTTGTTAGAAGACTCTTGAACGAAACCAGGCTCTGTTCTGCCTTAGGATGTTTGCATAGGGTACTTATCTACCTGGAATGCCTTTTATCTTAGGATCTTCTCAAACATTGGTTTCAAGGAAAGACTTTTCCTGACCCTTCTCTCTAAAGTAATGCTCCCTGATGCATAAATTTATTTTTTTAACCTCAGTGGTTAATTTTATTCCAATCAAGGGACAAAGATTTTTTTTTGAATTTTATGTTTACTTTCTTGAAAATATTTTCTTGCCTATTGTGTGTATGGTAATTTCACCCACATTACTAAAAAAGTACCATGAAGTCATTCATGTAAAAGATAAAGAAAATCCCTTTAAACACATCTCAGGGGAAAAATATCAAGTAGGCCATTTAGTAATTTATATATTGTTAACAGACTATAATACAATCCTGGTTTAAGTCAAACATATAAACATTTTGCCATTAGTATATTTTTCATAAATTGACAGGTATTAGTTATAAAACATTGTGTTTCTTAGAACCAAGCTCAGTGGTTTGTAAAAATGATAAACTTTTCAGTTTATAATGTTTTTGTGTGTATCATTTTCATAATAGTTGCACTGGGTGTTCAGTATATGAATGTGACTTAACCACAGTTGAATGGTATTAGCATTTACCACTTTTAGTGAAGTGTCAAAACTTTACTTTCATTCAGGTCCCTTTACCTTTTCCACTTTTAAATATCATTGTATTCAGTATCATTATTTTCATTTTTATTTTAATTACCAAGTATAATTTAGAAAACTTGTGGGAAGGATAATCTATTCTGTTTGCCTATATTTCTGCCCTTTCTGTTGTTTCTTATTCCTTCCTTCCTTCCTTGCCACAAGTCTCCTTCCTTCTTCCTTCCTCCTTCCTTCCTTCCTTCCTTCCTTCCTTCCTTCCTTCCTTCCTTCCTTCCTTGCCACAAGTCTCCTTCTTTTATCATTTCCTTTCTGTTTGAAGAACCTGCTTTAGCCATTCCTTAAGGATAGGTCTTCCAGCAACAATTTTTTTTTTTTTAAGTTTTCTTTCATCTGAGAATGTCTTTATTTCCCTTCTATTCCTGAATAATAGTTTTGTCAGTTATAAAATTCATGGTTGACAGTTCTTTTTCTTTTTCAGCACTTGAAAAATGTTCTACTTCCTTCTTGCCTCCATGGTTTTAGATGAGAAATCTGAGAGATCTGCTGTCATTTAAATTGATGTCCTCTATGGGTAATATCATTTCCTTCTGGCTGCTTTTGATTTTTTTTTTGTCTTCAGTTTTCAGAAGTTTGATTATGATGTGTCTTAGTATAGATTTCTTTGCATTTATCTTATTTAGGATTTACTCAGCTTTTTGAATCTGTGGCTTTATTTATTTATTTATTTTAATTACCAAAATTGGGAACTTTTTAGCCATTATTTCTTGGAATACTCTTTTAGCCACTCTCTTTATCCTCTCCAGTGATGGCAATATTGGATCTCTTGTTGTCCCACAAGTTCCTGAGACTGTTTTTGTTTTGTTTTGTTTTGCTTTGCTTTTTAGTCTCTTTTTTCTCTGTTGTTCATATTGAGTAATTTCTATTAATATATTCTCAAGTTCACTGATTCTGTCCTGTTATCTCCACTTTGCTACTGAATCCATCCAGTCAGATTTAAAAATTTTGCCTATTGTATTTATTAGTTCTATAATTGCCATTTGATTCTTTCCTATAACTCACAGTTCTTTGCTGAGATTTTATATTTTTTCATTGTTTAAAGAGCATTTTTAATCCTTGCTGAAGCATATTTATGATGGCTGCTTTAAAATCCTTGTCAGATAATTCCAAATCTGATTCATCTAGATGTTGGTGTCAGTTGATTGTCTTTTTTCGTACAAGTTATGATTTTCTTGTTTCTTGGTATGATGGGTTGTATCCTGGATATCTTGGTTATTACATCAGGAGACTCTGGATCTTATTTAGTATTTTATTTTGGCAGGCAGTCACCCTTTTAGGTTTAGCATTCCAGTCCTGGGCTACTTTTGTAGGCTGTGGTTTCAAAGACAATTTAATTTTCAGAGCCTTTGTTGTACTATTTTGGTCTGCTTGGTGCCCTTGTAGTTTTAACAGATCCCTGCTGGTGCTGCCTTAGTGGGTAACAGGAGCTTCCCCAGCCTGCATGGGTTCCTGGTAAAGACAAAGACCACTTCCTGTGTTGAGAACTTGTGTCAGAATCCTGCCTCCTTATGGCCTAACTGCCCAGTATCCTTCAGAGAGGGCTGTCTTAGGCCCAGCGAGGAAGGAGAGTCCTGGCCACTTAATGCCAGCATAGCTCCAGATAGATTCTTCTTGCTGGTTCTATAAGCTTATTCAACCCAGGAATTTTGTATTGTAACACCCTGATTATTTCCTTCATAGCACTTTTTATCTGAAATTATATTTATATTTTATTTTGCTTTTTCAATGTCTGTTTCCCATACTAGAAATAGCTCTGTGAAGGCAGAGTTTTTATTTTTATTTTTAAAAATTTTTGCTGTTTCCCAGCACCTAAACAAAATAGGTCCTCAATAAATATTTATTGAAGGAAAGAAGAAATCCCAAGAGGTAGAGAAGATGATGACAGCTATAAGGAGGAGGGATAGCATACTGAATTCTTAAAATATATTGTCTATTTGGATAATAGGGCTGAGATTTTTAAAAATTTTATTTTTAATTTATTTTGTTTTTTTGAGTAGGGAGTTGAATTTTTATTTTATTCATTTGTTGATTAGTTCAACAAGTATTTATTGAGTACCTATTAGGTACCAAGCACTGTGCTAGGGATTTAAAGGTAAGAAAAGAGGTCTGTGCCCTGCTGGGCACCATAGTCTATGTAGGAAGACAGGAACTGAAAAAGAAATGCCAATGCAATGTAGGTTATGAAGCAGAAGTGCAAGTTGTGGGGCAGCAGGTCTCATCAGTCTCCTGGGGGGTGCGGAGGGGTCTCCAGCCTTTCACATCTGCATAGCTCTGTGTAAATGTTTGCCAAGAGAATGAGTGTCTGGGCCCTGGAGCAGCCCAAACTGGAACACTGGGAACTCCATAATCAGAATCCTCACCATCACTAATGCTGTTTGAACACTTTTTAGGTGCCATTGTTTTCCAAGCCCTGGCTTCTTTAATCCCCACAGCAGCCTTTCATCAAGGGTTCTCTTATCATCATTCCCCTATTTTACAAACAAGGAAATGGGCTCAGACTGGAGGTCCCCTAACTGGTCAGTAGTGGAGGCCAGGTGGCTGCCTCCATGGCCCATGCTTTTAAACCCCACCACCTCCCCAGGGAGGAGAGCCCATCTCCACCTCTCCTCAGCCTTGTGCACTTAGCTTAGCTTCCCTCTGCCTCCCTGGTGCACTAGTTGCCTGAGTTGCCTTTCTTTAGCTTCATTTGCACAGAGACAGTGACATGAACAGGATCTCCTGACCCATGACGGTTTTGGTGGAAAACAAAATGCTGTTTCTAGTCAGTGCTAGGATCAAGGAGGATCCTCTTCTTTGGGAACTGAGCCCTGGTTAATGGTCCATATGGATTGTCTGATGTTCTTTACCCCACCAGTATCCATGCGCATAGAGTTAGTACTGGATGTTCCCAACCTAATGGGCTCTTCATTTCACTGATGGCTGCTCTCTTCCTTCCTCAGGTTCTCAGATTCATCAACAAGACAGAAGCTCCAAAAGAGGGATTTCTTGGTATAGAGATTAAGAGGGCAGACTTGGGAGCCAGATAGCTTGGGCTCAAATCCTGTCTCTGCCACTTACTTGTGATGTGACCTTCTTTGGCCATGTGACTACATAGTTCATCTGTAGGTGAGTCCGTGTGGTTCTATGGCACAGGTGGAAAGTGAAAGGGCCACTTTAACACTAATAAAAAAATACCTATAGCTGTTGTTTATTGAGTACTTACCATGTGCCATGCACAGGCTAAGTACTTTATATCACTGTCTCATTTTATCTGCATAGTCATCCTAGGTAGGTGTGGCATATTGCATTTTTCCAAGATAACTACCCAATATTTTCCATCCTACATGCTGTTCTTAAAATGTGGTATTGATACTCTTCCTATAGAGTGATGAGGCTTATATCCCTTCTCCTTGAAATTGGGTGGACCTTTGTGATACTTTGACCAATAGACTACAGCGGAAGTGATAATGTGTGACATCTAAAACTAGGTCATAAAAATGTCGTGTACTTAAAAAAAAAAAAAGCCATGTACTTACTTTGCTCTCTTGGGCTACTCATTCTTGAAACCTGGCCACTTCATTGTGAGGAAGCCCAAGCCACATGCTAAGGCCATGTGTAGGGTATTCCAGCTGAGAGCCCACATTACATCCCATGAAAATGCCAGCATTAATTGCCGGATCTGTGAATGAGGATGTGTTCAAGGTGATTCTAGCCAAGTCACTATCTGACTGCAATTGCATAAACTGAGTGAGAACTCTCTAGCTGAGGAAACTGAGGCTCTGAGAAGGGAAGAAGCCATAGTCATGTGGCCAGTAAGTGGCAGAGCTGGAATAAGAACCCAGGATGCTAAAAGTCTTGACTAGAGAAATGAGATGAGGGGATGATTTCTGCATAGATGCAGACTTCATCTATTGGCCCAGAGGGATCCAGCTGGAACCCCAACCCCAGGGGATATTGACTGTTTTATTTCTATACATTTATTGAGTTCCTCTTCTAAGCTATACTGTGTTATGACTTGTGAATTCAAAGTGAATAAACTGTAGCTTTTGTCCCCAAGGGGCCTATGATCTAGGTGAGGAGATAGACTGTTGATCTCTGTACTCCTGTGTATTCTCCAACATTGGTAAATACTGAGAAGTTGCTATATAAGACATTGAAAAGATTTCCTGGCCTAAGGCAGTCTGTCCTACCTCCTCAACTTTGAATATATCCAAAGATATCAAAGTGAAATAGGAGTAACTGGTTATTTCCATATTTAAGCAAGGGTTCCTCCTGCATGACTACTCTGAAAAGGAGTTCTAAAGACCTTAAGGCTTTTTGTTTGAGTGAAAGAAATAGTGACTAGTATATCCAGTATCTAACAGATGAAGAAGGTGGGTGGATTCCTTCCTCTCTCTGGATAAATATAGTTTATTCTGAAGTCTGCTGTATTTTTCACAAATATTTGTTGGGTAGCAGTCATATGTACCAGGCTAGAGATACAAAAATAAGACAAGATCCTTGCTCAGAGTCTAGTGTGGAGGGAGTGGTGGGAAGTGTTACAAGACAGTAAGATGGTCACTCCAGTGGAGGTAGGGATAGGTGCTGGGGAAAGACTGAGGAAGAAGCTCCTCCGTCTGTAGTGGAGTCAGGAAAGGCTTTCCAGGAAAGCTAGGCTTTGAGCTGGCCATGAAGAATTGACAACTTTCCAGATGTCCAATGAGGAAGAGGGCAGCCTCCTAAAGGCTGGAGGAGGGAGGAGCCTGTGTAAATAGTTGAGGAGGCACGATATGTTTGAAGACCTACAAGAAATTTAGTATTGTTGGTTAAAAAAAAGGGAAGAGGGCCAAGAGGTGGTAAAATAAGTGGAAAGTGAAGTCTGGGACCAGAATGCGAAGGGTCTGCTCTGCAGGTACAGGTGTGTTTGCCTTTTATGGTTTGGTGTGCTGTTTCTAGCCACAGTTAGAATTATCTGGGAGCCTTTTATAAAAGACCAATACCTGGTCTCAATTTCAAAGATTCTCATTCAATAGGTGTGGGGTGGGACCTAAATATCAGTATTATTTTCTAACTTTATTGGAATAAATTATACATGTGTGTCTCCATTGTGCTGTTCTTTCCCTGCCGCTATATATCTCTTTTCTTTTGTGTATTATGCTCCTAAATGTCTTTATTTTTTTTTAAGATTTTATTTATTTATTTGACATAGAGAGACACAGTGAGAGAGAGGACACAAGCAGGGGGAGTGGAAGAGGGAGAAGCAGGCTCCCCGCCGAGCAGGGAGCCCAATGCGGGGCTCGATCCCAGGACCCTGGGATCATGACCTGAGCCGAAGGCAGACGCTTAATGACTGAGCCACCCCGGCGCCCCACTAAATGTCTTTGTTTTTGACCCTGTTTCCCTAACTGTTGATTGGCTATCATGACTCAAATTTAGTATCACTTAACTTCAGGAAGCCTTTCCTGATCTTTCCTGGCTGAGTTATGAATCCTTTTCTGTAGTTCCATAGTACCTTGTATATAGTTTTCAGTGAGAATTGTATCCAGTTGATTTGGTTTGGTCTTGGACATCATACCATGACTGAATTATTACATCCAGACTGAATCCAGTGAGGGAGGCAAAATTGAGTTCTAATATCAGAAGGGTGGTGGGTACTGGGTATCAAAATAACAAGTATTTTTTTCAATACTATATAAACCTGTATTGTTCCTGAAAATATTTAAAGTGGTTGTTTCTCTACTGGACTAGGAGTTCCCTAAGGGCAAGTACTATGTGGTATTGATCTTTGAATACTTAGCTCTGAGTCAGTTTCCTGGCTCAATAAATGTTGAATGAATGGTTCCTGCTGTCAGATTTAAAAATATAGTTTATTCTGAAGTCTGCTCTGACTACCATTCATCCTTTCTAAAGTGTTTCCACTTTATTCTTTCACGCCCCCAGGACTTCAAGGATGGGGGAAAATTTTGCACAATGGCTTTTGAAATTATCATCAACCAGAAAACATCTTTGAGAATTTTATTATCTCCTTTCCATTTGGCCTCCTGAGAAATGTAAGGATCAGTAATAGGAGAGAGGCAGGCAGGCCGAGCAACTGGGATCCGAACCCACTAATTCCCTGGACAAGTGCCCTCTGTCTCTGCCAGAATTCAGGTTGATGATAAGGAGGAAAGTAGAGGTTCCTGGACTCAGGTTGAGAGGTGCCCAACCCATATTAAATTGATTGGGTCCACAGGCACTGTGGAGGTAGAAAATGTTGTTTTACTTCTGCCTTATCTGCTGAACATTCTCTAAGGATCTCTTTTAACTTACATTTAAAAACTGGGGGGAAAGGGCACCTGGGTGGCTCCGTAGGTTAAGTGGCTGCCTTCAGCTCAGGTCATGATCCCAGGGTCCTAAGCCCCATGCAGGGCTCCCTGTTCAGCAGAGAGCCTGCTTCTCCCTCTCCCTCTGCCTGCCGTTCTGCCTATTTGTGCTCTCTCTATCTATCTCTCTCTGTCAAATAAATAAATAAAATCTTAAAAAAATATTTTAAAAATATGGAGGGAGAAAGACGCTGATAGGCAGGGAAGTTTACATTTAATTGCTAATTTGTAAGCAATTTTCTTAAGTGCTACTTCATTTCTAAGTTGTCATTTAATGGGTATCACAGTGTTTCTCTGGAAGAAGGAATGTATTTCATTGAACTCACTACTCCTTCAGGAGCAGACTTGAATTTAGTTTTATGAACAGTAATGATTTTTTCATAGGGTGTACTTTGCTTCCACACAGGGTAGTATGATTCATAAAATCAAGTTCTTATGCTTTCATTATCCTTTCCAGGAATAAACCCTATTTCCTACAGCTATAATTCCCATTGTAAATCAGCTAGGTCCTTGTGCATAATACTGTGCAATTGATCGTTATCGTGTGTAGCCACATTAAATGTCACAACATGCTTTAGAATGAGAGATGAAAGAGAAGAAGGAAGAGGAAGAGGAGGAGAGAATAGATGGCAGAGTAGCACCTGGTGGGGCTGAATCTCCCTCTGCTTCGAAAAGAGAATGTTTCCAACATCCAGATATGGTGAAAAAGATGGAACTGATGGTTGAACTTTTTTAGTGAACTCACCATCTCCATAGAAGTTTGCTCTGAGTGATCAAAGCAGTCTTGCCAGTGCTGAAGAATGAAGGGTTTACCTCAGAGCTGCTCTCTCCATTCCTCCTCCTTCCCTCATTGGTCAAAACTTATTGGGCAGATTGGATTGCTGGACTACTTATTTAACCCAATAGAAATAATGAGTGCTGTATGGCCTACCTGACGTTCATTCTTCATGCACCCTCTCACCCCCATGGGCACCTTTATTTTCCCTTGGAGTAAGGTGGGGCAGGTGACCAAGAATCCTGCTTACCTACATTTCTCCCATCTGAGACCTCACAGCTGGCTTACAGGAAAGAGTCCAAATTCTTTGGCATGGGATACAAATAGGCAGCATAATAAAAGGATATTTTGGGAATCATAATTTGGCAGCAGAAACCAAAGGCAGGGAGTAAATTAGCAGTTAATTAGAACAGTTTGGCCGGATTTGGGCCTCAACCAGGAAGACGTGCCAGAACTATTATTTATTATTTAGAGAGAATTTGGCCAAAGAATATACGTACACTGAGAGCCTATTAGAAACCAGACCCTGTGCTAAGTGCTTTACATATATTATCACATTTATGACAAAGTAATTCCATCTCTAACAGCACCCATACTTTTTTGCTGTGGCACTTTTTACAACTCGAAACTATATATTTATTTGTGTGGTTAGTTGTTTTAATGTTGGGTTCCACCCACTAAGTTTCCATCTATGTGCCTGTCACATAGTAGATGCTTGAAAAGTTTATTGAATGAATAAATGACTATGTCTTGGTACCACTCTTATGCAACTTAGATTCATGAAAAGAAACTTTTTGGAATTCTAGGAAAACTGGATAAGCAGTATGCAGGAAGGGGCTAAGCCAGGCAGCTCTGGGAACCTTGGCAACCACTAGAGAACTTGGCCATTAACATGACCACTCCTAATGCTTCCGCACTAGAGCTTTCAGTTGAAATTCTTGAGAGAGATTCTGACTGGCCTGACTTGGGTCAGGTGTCCACTCATGATCCAGTCAGCTATGACCAAAAGG